AAGCTTCCTATACTTTGTGTTTGGCCTACATGTCCAATTTAGCTTTCTACTTTAGCATATAACCTACTTACACTTTAAAATGTTTGTTACCTGTGCATGGCATGCATTTTTTACATAAGAATTTCTTCAAAAATGTGGTCTAAGGATTTCACGGTATCTCAATTCAATAAATTTTTGAGCATTAATAATGTGCAAATTTCAGTGTGTCTTGGGAACTGAAAGAGATGGGAAACTTCATAAGACATCACACCAACTCTTCAAATGGACAGTATAATTTGAGTCCTTAATGTACCAGACTTAACACATGCTCCATTGCAAGAATTTCCTTTTCATAGTTTAGTGCTTCCTGGGATCTTTAGATATTTTCAGCAACAACATATTTGCCTGGAATGCTTCACCCCTTTTAAAACAGCTTAGCTGTTTACTTGCACAGAGCTTTCTTTAAAGTGTCTCCTCATAAAATGATTTATTCTGCCCCTTCCCACTGGGTATTATAAAAAATAGTTATTTACATATAAGATCAAAACCCTACTTCTATTCTAGGTTTCTCCCTATCCTTCAAATATATAGGTAGACATATGTTTCCCATTTGACCATGCCCTGCTTTTTCAAGTATTGACAAAGCATAGTGATTGGTCCTCTCATTACAGAATTGCCACAAAGTTCTAAGAAGAAATTATCAAAATATATAGGATATTTAGCTTAAAAGTTCTAAATTTTGAGGTCTATGATATTATTATAGATAAATCACAATCTTAATTTCCTTCTTTGCAATCTTGGTATACATTAAGTTAAAATTTATTTTAAATGAGCCATTCATAATGGACAGTACTAATATTTGCTTACCAAATATTTAATAATTTTTATAAAGCAGATCACAGGAGATGTGGAGAAGAAAAAACAGACAATACATATTAATAATGGAGAGTAAAATACATCACTTATAATCCAAGACAATCAAGATTATGAAAATTTACTAAAAATATGACATAAATTATACAATAAGGTAGACCTCATAAATATAAAGCAAATTCTATATGCAATTAACAGAAAATACATTGCTTTTCAAATGCACATTGAAAACTACCCCCCAACCTCCCAATTTATAATTTCTCTTTTCATGGTTTTAGTTACCTGTGGTCATCCAAGACCTGAAAATCTTAAAATAGAAAATTCTTGAAACAATTAATTAGTTTAAAAGTTACATTCCATTCTAAAAAAAAATTTACATTCCATTCTACGTAATGTGATGAAATCTCACTCTGTCCCATGACCTCTCGTTAAAGACATGAATTGTTCTTTTTCCAGTGTATCCACCCCATATATGCTACTCACTCATTAGCCAACCCAGTTATCAGATTAGCTGTCATGGTATCCTGGTGCTTGTGTTCAAGTTTCCCTTATTTTAATTAATAAAGGCCCTACAGCACCAAAGTAGTGATGCTGGCAATTTGGAAATTTCAGAAAGAAGCTGCAAAGTGCCTAATTTAAGTGAAAGGGTCAAAGTACCAATAAATAAATAAATAAATAGGAAAAGAGACCACATTCTTATAACTTTTATTATGAATATAATAAATACTTTTGGAATGTTATGATTGTTCTATTTTATTATTTATAGTTGCTGATTTTATGATTTTTAAATTAAACTTTATTATATGTATATACAGAAAAACACATAGCATGTATGGGGTTTGCTACTATCTGTGGTTTCAGCTCAGCCCAGCCCCTGAAGGTCTTGACATCTATCTTCCATAGATAACTAGGAAAGTACAGTAATCACAAGTGATTTTTCAGAATATAAATAAGAACTTGATAATCCAAAGAATAGAACACAAACAGCATTCTTTGCCTAAATAAAATAAAATCAGAAATTAATTTAAAACAATCAAAAGGAAAAAGATTCATCCTCCTGGAAATTTTCACACATGCATAAATTAAGCAACTCTGTGAAAGTAGAAATACAAAACTTCTAAAATAATCAATGGATACTTTCTTAATATTAACATCCTCTTTATGTTATTCAAAGACACACGTACAGGAACACATGCACACATCTCAAGATTTACATCTCAAAACCATCTGACATATTGGAGAAATGAATTGAACTGTTCTGCTCAAATCAAGAACTAGACAAAGATCATGGCTGTCTCCAGAATTATTGACTGTTATGATGATGTTGAAAATGTTTGCTTGCCACTGGATTTAATAATACAATCAAAATATAATAATGGGAAAGAGGCAAAAAAATGCCTAATGTAGATGATATGATTGAGTATCTAGAAAATGCAAATAAATATTTGGAAAAATACAGAAGAGTAATAGAATGCCCAGTCCCATAACTTGCTTATTTTGTGGACTTTGTATTTTTAGTCCTCCTGGTTACTAACGTTCAGAACTTTACTGTGTTAACAATAATTTCAGTTGTGCTTTCATAATCTACGTTCATTTTATATCTTGCAGAAGTCATGTAGATTTTGACTCTGAAAGGTCCATCCTAACAAGTCTTTTTTCTGTCCTACTGCCACCAACCTCAACTGTTCATAAACTTAGTAGACTGCTGCCTGTGCAGTACATGCTTAGTATGTAATTTCCTTGTTTAAAGTCTAACTTTGTGACCTAGTTTCTACAATAATCCCTTAATTTACCTTTCCAGGTATACTGCTGCTAATCCTTCAGTTATACAGTGTTTAGCTGGGTACTGGGTAGCTCTTAGACCTATTTCTAGCTCATTATATTTTGGAATATCTACCATAGTTATGCTATAATAAGAATAATAATGTATATTAATGTTTAGGCATTATGTTAAATATTTCGCTTATTCTGCTTTGTCCAACATTTAAACAGATGTGGGTTTTCACTTGAAGTCCTAGCACTGTATAACTTCCTTTGATATTTACACTTATTTTATATTTGATTCCTGATTTTAACTTCACTTGATTATAAGCTTCATGAGAACAGAAAGTGATTAGTTCATATCTCCATGTCACTTACAGCACAGTAAGCATTCAATAGATAATTACTTTATTGAAAAAAGTGTGTCTACTGAGAAGATAAAAATTAAGGTTTTATACTTAACTAAGGACATCTCTGTATAATTAATCCACTTTTGATTTCTTGGCTCTATTCCATCTGAGCAGGGATCTGCCTTATTAGCACTATATTTTCAAGGCCTAGAACTATTCCTGGCACATGTTAAACAATTGGTAATAATTCTACTTCTATCCCAGGATGAAAATTAATTGACAATGAATGATACAATAGAAGCAAAGGCTCAACAATAAATAATATAAGCCAGCATCAGGGTCAGAGCAGCTTCTGGTTTACACCCATCATCTTCTATAACAGATCATCTTTACCTAGTTTGGTTTATAGGTACAAATTTTTTTAAAAAATTAATTTCAGCAGATTACTGGAGCCTCTGAATCCCCCCCCTTTTGGTATTGGGGCTCGAATTCATGACCTTGTGCTTAGGCAGGCAGTGGAACCAGAGCTAAATCCCAGCCCCTTGAATCCCATTTTTATAATTACAAAGGTCCGTAGCTATGAAAGGAACAAGTGTTGGTAGACAGTGTATTCAAGGGCAGGAATTGGTACAGTCAGAACATAGAGGGTGTCTATATGATAAATTAATTTCATATTTATAGATTGATTAACTTCAGATTCTTTATATAAGGACCTACATAGCAATTACACGCCTTTGATTCTAAAAATTTGGGGAAGTTATCCTTTCATTTTCGAAAATGCAAATATTTCTAATAGATAACAAACTTTTATCTTCTAAAACGGCTTTACTCTGTAGACAGTACAGCATTAAATGGAACTGGACTAAAACTGGAAGTGGAGAGTAAAGGCACAGAATGCTGGGACGTGTGACTTTTTTTAGGAACCTGGGAGGCCTCATTTCTTACTTCTCCCCAGATCCTCCAAAAAGGCTTAAATTCTAACTTTGAGCAGGTTTGATAAGGGTAACAGAGAACAAGGAGTTTTGCAACGTAGCACTTCCAAACAGGACACACCAGGTTAGACTCCAAAACACCTTGTCTTGCTGGTTTTTCACAATGAATGGCACATAAAGATCAAGAATCCATGCCCTTCGTTTCTTCCCAAACCTCCGACCTAGGTAGGACCTAACGCCGGCGGAGGGAAAACCACACTCCCAATTCGGAACTCGTAGGCGGAAGGAGGGGAAGAAAGACCTGGAGGAGGTGGTTCTCTGGAGAAACCACGCCCCTCACATTCTCGCCGCTGATTGGCTGTGGCGCCAGGCCGAGGACAGAGGGGCGGGTTCGCCGCTGAGTCGAGCCTCTCAGCGCGGAG